AAAGTATCATATGAATAAGCCCCGGCGGCTTCGAAGCAACTTGAAACGTTGATTGGCTTTCGTAGGAGATTGGAATACCCAATCTGAATAGTTCCGCCGTAAATCATGATGGAGGGCCGGTTATGCCTGGCCATACCCATCACCACTCCAGGCATGTTTTTGTCGCATCCGGGAATGGCAATACAGGCATCGTGGTACTGAGCACATGTCACGGTCTCGACACTATCCGCAATGACCTCACGCGTTTGGAGAGAAAATCTCATGCCTGTTGTAGCGTCAGGTATGTCTCCGATTGACCTCGCGATAGCTTTCCAAGTCACTGACCTTCACTACCCATGGTGATGGCATCTGAGACGCCAATGGTGTTGTATTGCCAACCAATCATGCCCTGGCCCTCGACGGACTTCTTCACCGTCTTGCCCATATCCAGCAGGTGCATGTTACATGGATTTCCTTCCCACCACACAGACGCAATTCCTACCTGGGGGCTCTTTGCCATAGCGTTCTGGTCGGGAACACCTGCAGCATAGAGCATTGCCTATTATGAATGGAAGTTGCTGTCAGCATGATCTGGATCAAACTCCAAGTTCTCACGGTGACTACCTACCTTAGCGCCCGGGAAGTCATGGCCTCTAGTAATGGTTGAAGAGTAACGGTTCAGTGCAAGTGTTCCATCTTCATGCTTTGTGCCCTCTGGAAGACAAGGGAATTCGATGTATTTCGCTTCTCCTAAAGTGGAGGAGACGGATTTGGAGGAATCCATGGCGAACGTTGAACAGCTTGAATGGAGAATGCTGCTGGATGCTTCAGGACAGCTCAAATGACTCTATGTCTTAGGTCGACAATAGAGAGGGACGATACGGCTTCTAAAATATGACGACGATAGAGTGATGTGCGGTGGAAGTGAGCCCCTCATCTCCCGGTAAATCGGAGTTGGTACGTGTCTCCGTACGCAGTAAAGTGCATCGGCGACATGTCCGTTGCGGGGGATGTTGAATAATCGGAATTAATCCTATTAGTTGTTGTTTCTGGGGAGTGTCATTCAATTTCAGGATTGATTTGATTTGACAATGGTCTCGGGTATAAAGTGGGGAACTTTCAACTACTGTCGGTGACAAGAGTAGTACTACCTACTACTAGTAGTAGTAGTCCGAAGGATACGCACATCCCTTCCAATCTGCTGTGAATACAGGTTTCAATAGGTAGCTCCTGTAGATTCTCAACTTGGCAAAAGCACTCAGATTCAAGATCAGTGAATCGTACATATCTGCGTACTCGAGCCGAGAAAACACAGCCCCTCTAGGTCCACAGGATTTGTATATGCCAAAGGCAACATAGTGTACTGGAAGGTTACGAGTGAATTTACTAAGTCCAAGATAGATAATCAAGAAAAGCTGGGGGCCAGTGCAACTGGGTATCTTTGATGAAAGTTGACTCCTAGTAATAATAATAATCCATCGTATCATATGCATGAGAATGAAGTGATTGACGCCTGTCGCTTTCTGACGAGTATGTTATCCCGCCACACTAATCTGATTCTCGGTCAATTGTAGACCACTGGCCAGAGTGCTGTAGCCCTTCATCTGACGTAGGATCCTGCAGTGGGGCCGATGTCTCAACGGGGTCATCCACCCCTTTCTCAGACTCAATATGATGGACACCAGAATCATCGTCTACAGCAAAGCCAACAATTTTCCCTGAGCTCGATTGAGGTCGAGCCTCCTCGAGAACATCGCCGTGCCAGGGTTTGCATTTCTTAACAATCTCACCGCAGCGGAGGCAAATCCAGCCCTCTCCTTCCTCTCCTTCGACTTTTTGCACCAGACAGACGAAGCAGTATACGCAGCCACATGGGATTGCCTCATAAGGATTTGTAATATCCGTCTGGGCGGACCCGAGGATTCCCCCAGAGGCCGCCGATGCAGCGATCACTTCGCTTTCTGTTGCGGACTCTGGATTGCTCGCTTTGTAACATATAGCGCAGGTCCTTTCGGGAAGGAATGATAGCTCTCCTTGCTTCTCAGTTTCTTCAGAATCTCCATCACTCGATCTAATACTAGACATTGTTTTCCGCCATGCTCTAGATATCCATCGTCGCCATCTGCTGATTCCCACGAGTGGCAGCAGAAACAAAAGGAACTCCGTGAATGCGTGCCACACAAGTTGTCGATTGAGATATTCGAATGACACCTCGCGGCTTGCCTGTGCGGAGGGAGGAGTGAGGCGTATGCGAAGGATACGGTCGACTAATGTTCGGTATCGGCCGTTGACTAGGAATACAAGGAAAGAGATAAAAGCCGCGATCGAGTGTGTCGTGGAAACGAGATCTGTCATACGAGCCAGCATACGCACTTCTCGAGACGGCTAATAATATGAGCATAATGTACAACTGAAGGGTCGCCATCAGCACTCACCTCGTCATAGCCGCCTTCTTGGTTGATCAACCAACTTTCCCATTTCTCCCAGGCGTAGCGACCACCGACTGTGAGTAGGCCATACACAGACTTCTGCCACTTTGTTGGAGCTGAGTGAATTGGGCCTTTACTGCGGGTGTCTATGTACTTCAAATTTTGTAAGGCAGCTCCATAAGATGCGTCGTGATCCCAAATCGAGAGCTTGAACAAGATTGCACGTAGAGCAAACTGGATTTCGTGGGACCAATCCTCACGGACTTGGGGCTGCAATATCGGAACATTAGCGGATACCATATAACAGGATGTTGAATACAGACGAGCGCAACCTACACCAAAATACTTCAAAGCATTCCCAACTTGCCCTTTCAGTAACCCCAGCAGTTCCTCATCCAAGAGTTCAGCATCGACCTGTCCAACACGGAAAGCAGGCCTATTACCCTCGCGACCTTTTATCGTATTCCATAGTGAGAGGCCTGAGACAGGTATTCTATTCAAAGGATAAGGGAGTCTCTGGAACGCGGGATGGTTAACCGGGGACGTCCGCTGCTGTTCCGCAAATCTAGCGCGAGCTTCGGCTTCGCGGAGACGACGACGTTCCAGAACACGCTCCTGAGCAGCGGCAAAATTTGTCGAGCTCATTGTATAATCATGGTGTTTTATCAAGAGAAATCGTTTTGTAAACGAGGGAGTCAACAATATGAGCGGGAAATGGTAGGCGGTTGCGGAGGCCAATGCTGTCGGCCGGTTCCCCAGATCGGACTTCGATCTGCCGAGGTCGAAACGAACCACGTGATCGTTCCCGGCGGTGATGGTGTATACATTTGTCCGTCATTCTGTATTCAGCTAGAAGTTAATTCTGATACGAATAGCTCTGCCTTGCTTAAGGATGAGGGAGAAGAGAAACAATATATATTTACTTGAGAGTATAGGGTGTGGATAGCCGTGTTAGGTAAATGGTATAAGCAATCAGGGCCTGTTTCGAGTGGAACTTCAAAACTATTTCGTTTGTTAGAAAACCCTTGGAATCTCTTTCCACAGATGTTTTATAGATTCGAGGATATCTCTATATTGAGCAAAGGACAATGGATTCTTTCATTGTGGTGTGTCCCAAGGTGAGTTTGGGTTCGCAGAACTATCGTTACACCCGGATTAAATCCGGGATATAGACGAAGCTACGAACCTGTGTATCCATGGTTGAAACAGTTATAGGACTGATATCACTCTAGTAATGGAGAACCTATCTCGGATTGATCCTTTTCAGTTGATTAAGGCAATTGATTATGCCTTCAGGTTTTATTGAAAGACGAATCACCCTAAGAACACCGAGAATCCCACAATATCCATATGGTGTCTGAGTATTTCTATTCACCCTAGAAGATTAGATACCCTTATTTAAGGCTCCGACCAGTGTTTATTGTACACGTACAAGTAAGCGTATCCAGTAGCAGCATTGTATTGGGCGTTCAATTGCCTAGCATGTCTGCTTGGAGAAGCCCTTTGTCCAGTTGCGATTTAAGCTACTCATATTGGCATGGTATGTATGAAATCCGTGCAGTAGTATGGGATTGAGAAAGAGGGAGAAACCCGAAAGCGTCATGATATCAGCATTCCAAGGTTTTGATCTGGCTGTTATCATGCATATATATCAGGAGTGGTTGTCAGCTACAAAATGAGACATTCTTTAGTTTGTACCTATCCATTAAGGACTACGCAAATTGACGCGCGCCTCTGCCGGAATAGATGAATAAATGATGGGAAGAATATTATGATAGCCTATAGTTGGTCATGTGATAGTTTGTAAACTTCAACAACATTGGCATCGATGAAGTGCAAAGCTCGTGCCTCCATTCCGACCGAGCCGGGTCAGTCAGCTCTGAAGGTATTAGGTGCAGTAGGTGGTCACTGCTACGACTACTAGTACTAGTACTGTGGTAACTTCCTGTCTTATCCTATCCATGTTTGATTACTCCACTCCAAATGGACAAATGGTACTAATACTAGTACAAGGTACTGGAGTTGTCAACCAGAAGATGGCGCACGTGCTACCCTCCCAATCCTCCAGACTTTCGGCCCCACCGAGGGCGTGGATAAGCATTCGCCCAGACCTGATTCCGGGCCCCACTCTAGACCGGGATCGAGTAGTTGTCGCATGTACTCTGGAGTATTCCTGTCTGTACTGCAAGGGGCCCTGAACTTCCCTCGTTCTGTCCCATCCCGCTACCCAATCTCAGACTAGTCTTTACAAATAATGCTACTAAGCGATTGAACTGTTGCCTGCGGTTCAATTAGCCGAAATGGCAGACGTCGAATGAAACAAGTTTCCCTGACCTCGTGGTTCTAAACGCTCAATTATCTAACTACCTTGGTGGATACAACTCATCAGTAGCGCAGTACACTAGGTACACTACAATCTGCCCTACCGGCCTCGTGCGCATAGCACATGGTCCTATGCGATAGAATTTTCCTCGCTCCTGCCTATAAAGACAGGTGGTCGCGCCCCCTTTGTTGATCATTCTTTGCATTCTTCCTCTTGTATCGGTGACAGGGACAATCTCTTGACAAGAAGCGGCCACATAGATCTCAAAGATGAAGTCCTTCATTGCAAGTTTATTCGCGGCCTCTTTGGCCTATGCCCAAACGGCCACGGAGAGTGAACCTTCCCTGTCAGACATTGAAAAGGCTGCGGCTACCACAGAGCCATACTCTCCTGTATCCAATGTGACTGGCCTGGCCTTTGACAGATTCTACCAAGTTTGGTTGGAGAACATCGTATGTGACACACCCTAAATCTTTTTTTCTTACATCCTAACGCATATATTCCATAGGATTACTCGGATGCGTCTGCCGATGAGAACTACCAATGGCTGGCCAAGCAAGGAATCACTCTGTAAGACTTGCTTGTTGAGACTTGCTCAACTTTCAAAATTCCTTACTGACTATCCAAGTACCAATTTCTTTGCAGTTACCCATCCCTCTGAGCCCAACTACTGCGCTTCCGCCGGAGGTGACACGTTCGGCATGGACAATGATGATTTCAACCAGATCCCGGCCAACGTCTCGACCATCGCCGACTTGTTCGACACTAAGCACATTTCCTGGGGAGAGTACCAGGAACATCTACCTTACCCTGGCTTTCAGGGATACAACTACTCCAACCAGGAAACTTATGCCAATGATTACGTGCGAAAGCACAACCCGTTGGTGCTATTTGACTCGGTCACGAAGAACAGCACTCGTTTGCGTCAGATCAAAAACTTCACCAACTTCGAGGACGATCTAACCGATAAGAAGCTTCCTCAGTACGCTTTCATTACCCCCAACATGACCAACGATGCGCACGATACCAACATCACCTTTGCCGCTAAGTGGGAACGTACCTGGGTCTCCCAGTTGCTCGACAACTCCTATTTTATGGAAAACACTCTGCTTCTTCTCACTTTTGACGAAGACAAGACCTACCCCAAGGGAAACAAGGTCATGAGCATTCTATTAGGTGGAGCCATTCCTGACGACCTGAAGGGCACCACTGATGATACGTTTTATACTCACTATTCGATCATCGCTTCCATGTCGGCCAACTGGGGTCTGCCATCCCTTGGCCGATGGGACTGTGGTGCAAATATCCTTGAGATTGTGGCTAACAAGACTGGCTATGTCAACTATGATGTTGACACTACAAACCTTCGTCTCAACGAGACATACCCTGGACCTATGTCCGCTGGCGAGTACTCCGAATTCTCGCCTGTGTGGCCCAACGCCTTGACTAGCGGCAACTGCTCAGCTGGCCATGGAATTCTGGACATTGTCAAGGAGACCTATAAGGGAACCACTGCGACTTACAACTACACGAGCCCCTTCCCCTACGATTCTAAGAGCGGCTACAACGTCAAGGTTACCGCAACTAGGAAGGGTGCCAGCAACAATGGATCTTCTTCCTCATCGGCCCCTACGCCCAACGTTGCTATTCCCTTCGGTACGCCCGCTGTCGGATCGATTTCCGGTATGTTGGTTGGCCTTCTGTTTTGTCTTTTCTAGGGCAATATTATGCGATATGTCTCTCTACATGTACTTATTTTAAGTTTGCCAGCAGGCCGTGTTTGAATGTTTTATATTACAGAGGAAGCATATTTATAATGACTACACAAATGATACCGTGAGCACAAAAGAATCAACGCAGTGACATAGCCACCTATGGAAAATCGTAGACTTCTGTAGTAAAGCGTACTTCTGTCTTATTATTTAACAATCTTTTACGGCATCGTTCCTTAGTGGCTATCAATGTTCCCCGGCCTGGAGGAAGATCATATCATAGCTCTTCGCTCCCATCCTCATTCTTTGGGCCCCCTTAGTAGGATCTTTTGGTTGAGAATTGTAGCTAAAGTCAAGTTTCCTATTGTATTCATAAATGTAAAGCTCGATATCCACCCTTCTTACAAGATTTTTGAGTACATTATATGTGAGTGCATCAAGAGCTAGTACTGATCAAAACGGTTTTTGTCTCCAGATAGCTGTCCAAGCCGCTCAACAAACCCTCCCGACCCAAGCCGCTCTGCTTGTATCCGCCCATTGGCATATCCTTCACAATAGTGGGACTCGTGCAGTTGACACCGACTGTACCTGCCTCGAGAAGCTTAGACAGCCGTACTGCACGATCCATATCCTTCGTGAAAACCGAGGCATAAAGACCAAACTCGGAGGCATTAGCTCGTTCAATCGCCTCCTCCTCTGTCTTGAACGTATTGATCGCCACAACAGGTCCAAAAACCTCCTCCTTCATAAGCCGAGAGTCATCAGGCACGTTCTCAAAGACGGTCGGCTTGATGAAGCCCTTTCCACCATCCCCTCCCATCGTGAGCTTTCCGTCCGCTTCCCCAATCTCCAGGTACGACTTAACCCGTTCATACTGAATATTGTCTGCCTGCGGTCCGTGGTTCGTCGTCGGCTCGAGGGGATTGCCCATGCGCGACGCGGCGCCAAACTTCTCCTTGAACGCCAATATGAATTTATCCGCAACAGACTCCTGCACATAAATGCGTGAGTTCGCGAAGCAGGTTTGTCCGCTCGTGAAGTGGATGCTGAACTGAGTCTTTTCTGCTGCCTTCTCGATATCTGCATCTTCGAAGATGATTGCTGGTGTTTTGCCGCCTAGTTCCAAGTGAACCACTTTCATGTTAGACTTGGCTGCTGCGATTTGGATTTTTTGACCGGTGGCTGTGGAACCAGTGAAGCTCAGGCAGCGTACATCCATATGGGATGCTATGGCACTGCCGGCTGGGCTTCCGAAGCCGGAGATGATGTTGACGACGCCGGGTGGGAAGCCAGCTTCTGCAATCAGTTTGGCCGCGAAAGCAGACTGTCACAGAAAGAAGTCAAAAGGAATGGATACTTGAAGAAGGGGTTACTGAAACTTACAGTCAAGGGCGCCTTCTCGCTACTCTTGAGCACCACAGTGTTTCCAGCAGCCAAAGCAGGGGCAACCTTAAAGGATAAAAGCCCCAATGGCATATTCCAAGGGATGATAGCGCCAACGACGCCGTACGGCTGCCTAAGCGAAAGACCAAGAACGCCGGGGGTATTCACGCTGCTAGTTCCTTGCGCATGCCAGCCGGTCTCTGCATAGTAAGCAAAAGTGTCTGCAGCCATTTTGCCATCTATGTAAAGCGATACAGGCTTTCCCATTGAGATGGACTCCAAACGAGCCAGTTCAGGTATATTCTCCTTAATTAAATTTGACAGTTTGCGCAGGTAGATACCCCTATCATCCGGGGTGAGGTCTCTCCAAGCTGGGAAGGCGGCTTTGGCTGCTGCCACAGCCTTGTCCACATCTTGCTCGCTTGCTTCATGGACTAAAAGAGAGCGTTAGCATCTCCTATGGATAGGCACACCTTGCAATATTGGTGGCTGGGGCAGCAAAATACCGTCTGCAACTGGTTCACGTGTATATGGATTAATCAACTTGAATGTTTTCCCACCCGTAGCTGGTTGAAACTATGAATACGGAAGAAGGCTTGGTGAGCACGAAGCCTTATAAGCATGACACTCTGGCTATGCTTACCTCGCCATTGATAAAGAGCCGAGTCTCGATTGGCTGCTGATCAGCGGCAGTAGATGACATGTTGGCAGATATGATGGGTGTGATATGGGCTCGAAGAAACGAGCTAGAGTAGCGGGGGAAGTGAGCGCTTTATGTATTCTGTTAGCCCCGGACGAAAGTGTCTTGTCCAAAGTCTGGGCGTCGGGCCCAACGACAAGAATCGATGCATTGGATTATTAACATGACTGGCATGATAAATCGGCGTATAAAACCATGCGGGGATAGCAGGGATCAATAAAGGAACAGAAGCGGGGGCAGTCCATCCTCGCGTTTCCTCGATAGCCCTGTGGAACCTCTCGTAAATACTTAAGGCCCGCAATCTTAGCAGGCGCCTAACAGCATTGTATTGGATATTGGTAGACGATGCGGCCAATGAATGCCCAAAAATGATGTCCAGAGCAACTGACCGGAATCCAGCCGCTAATCGAACGGTTGCATTTACGCAGAAACCTATGGGAGTGTTGCCCATGTGGGGAGATTAGTTCATGACTACTAGTAGTCCTACCACAGCCCTAGGGATGACGGTGGATCTCTCGTGCATGAAAGACGGTGGTTTGTTCTTTGTTATAGTGCTGAGTGGGGTCCAAAAACCGACCCTCGGGCTATGCGCCTAGACTCTTTCAGAAGGTGATTGTTGGATGACAAGAGTGGCTGCTTGCTGTCCGAGTCATCTGTTCAGTTTCCTTTACTTTAATCATGACAGTGAATGCCTATCCAACGTTAGATTGCGTGTTTTTGTCCGAACGTTGAGATTCTTCGAAACCCTTCTCCTATCTTAACTAGATGATAACTAGCTGATTAGCGCATCCTTAGGGCTGAGTCTAGGTTAACCACGTCATATTATATCATGACCTAAACGATGCTACCTAGGATGCTCCAATACCCTCAGAGGCTTTCCATTATGGATCTTTACTGAGCAAGCCCTTTAGCCTTCAGATCCTGAAGGTTAAGTGTGTCTTGATCGCCCGGACGGCGTTCCGACTCGAGCTTCACCTTATCCTCAGGGCCTCCGGTGCCTTCATATTTGCCGGCTGATGCCAATACGATCATGATTAGCATCTAATTAAGCCAAGGATAAGTGTAAGTATAACGCCAACTTGATTCCCACTGCTTCACGGAATTTCTTATCCGCCCTTTCGTCAATGCTGGACTCGAGGACTTCATAATTTCCTAGTACTATAAATCAATGCATGTAACAAGGCTCTTCGTACCAGAGTCTCTCTTCGGTCCAAGCCCTTGCCGCATTTAATAGGAGTTAAGGTCTTGCTCATCACGGGCTGCCATACGAAGCTTGTCGGAACCGGCCATTATGTCTCGTATATGGATGCTCTCTAAAAGTAACTGAAATGGCTCAAAGGTATAAAACTATTCAAATAAGGTAGCGTTTTGATTGTTTAAGAAAAATCTCGCATGAGCCCAGCAACAAAGGCGCCATTTCCAGCTATATACCCATGATTGAAAGCTGTTCATCAGGGGCATAGTGATTTTGCATCGGAATACATCATATCTAGGGAACTGAATGCATTACACACTTGCTACTGTATAGACTTCCACTTGATCCTGGATCTCAGTTGTAGTGATGATGTCATGCAACCAGATGTTATCTCAGCCCTAAGTATAAGTCCCATGTTGGCCTAGTGCTGAGGGTCCAGCCCTAGGGCTACGGCGGAGAGGAATAGCAATTTTCCGAAGCGTCCCGCTAAGGCGGGGAGCAAAGAATACGGGCAAATGTATACGGACAACGGAGAGAGCTCTTTGCGTGTTACTCTTCCTATCAATAGTAATCTTTCACATTTGCCACAAGATAGAACTTCAAGGAATAGGGCAAGCTCCATATTCTATGTTTCACCAGTGACTTAGAGGTTTCTCTCTTAGCTGATATTGGGGTTTGGACTCAATTGCTTGATAGCTATCTATAGCTTTCACCTCCAACCCAAGCTTCCAGCCATTCCTTAGTATGGCTCACGTCGTCGAGTTACCCGGGGAGTCAAACCCCTTGACTCTACAGAATGTTCTCAATGCTTTGGTTCTAGCAGCAAGCTCGACGCAGCAGCAGGTGCACACTGGAGCCCAGCAATTGCAAAACTGGGAAAAGCAGGAGAAATACTATACATCCCTCCAGGTAATTTGATACCGTATAACCTTCAATATGTAATAGTTTCCTTGCTTATGTGTTGTTCATTTCTATAGGATGTCTTCCTAGATCACTCTGTGCCCAACGAAGTCCGATACCTTGCCATCATCCAATTGAAGAACGGCATCGATAAGTATTGGCGAAAGACCGCGACAAAGTAAGCCTGTGCTGCCACAATCCTGTATCGGTGGAAGGATTTAGTTGCTAATATTTCAATAGCGCCATCAAAAAGGAAGAAAAAGAGCAGATAAAGAACAGAGCCTTACAAGCGGGTGTCGTGGAGCCCGCAGCTCTTCTAGCTCTACATAATGCATTAATGATCTCCAAGATTATGCGCTATGAATTTCCTCAAGACTGGTGCGTATCCTTTACCTCCAAGCTTGATAGCTGCACTTCTAACTGTTCCATCAAGGCCCGACGGTATCTCATCGCTTATAAACTTCCTCCGTTCCTCAATACAGCCAGGCGCCAACCCATTGCAATTGCCACGAACCCTTACAATCATCCTGCAGATAATCAAGGAGCTATCCACAGCACGGTTGCAAAGGACACGAACCAGCCTTCAATCTGTTGCCCCAGAGATCTTCCATCTTCTGGGAAGTATATATGTGGACAAAGTGAACAAATGGGCATCGCTTTTAGAGCAGGGTGTTGCTGACGAAGGAGCATTGTTGGATAGTCTTGAGCAAAGTCTAGTATCTCTCAAGGTCGTTCGGCGCCTTGTGATAGCTGGATATGAACACCCCAACCGTCATAGCGAAGTCAAAGATTTTTGGCTTTTGACTCATTCTCACTTCAGTCGCTTCCTCCAGTTCATCAGTGGTTCCATTAATCTACCGGAAAATGTACAGAAGGCGATTGAGAAACATATTTTACAGCTATCGAAGCTCCATGTCGAGATGGCCAAGGATCGTGCTGCCTCTTTCGCATTGCTACCAGACAGTATTCCCCTCGTTCGATCATATTGGAGTCTAGTGGTTAAATTAGGGGAGAACTACGCACAGCTAGGCGCAACTGGTGAACAAGATAGAAAGTCACTGATGGAAAAGGCTGGGCTCAAAGCCCTTCTTCTGATCAGAGCTTGTTCCAAAATGGCATTCAACCCAGCTCAGACCTTCAAGTACCAGACCCCTGAAGATAAGGAGGAGAAAAAGCAGTCCATTGAACTTATCAAGGCGGAGCTCTTTACCCACGACTTTGTGGTCAATGTCATGGAGCTCCTCGTCACACAGTTCTTCCGGTTCAGAACAAGCGATTTCCAAGAATGGGAGGAAGACCCTGAAGAGTGGGAACGGAAAGAAGAAGATGTTTCCGATGCTTGGGAGTTCTCTATTCGATCATGTTCCGAAAAGCTCTTCCTTGATCTGGTCATCCACTTTAAAGACCTCCTCATCCCGCGACTTTTAACCGTCTTCTACAACTTTGCAAGTAAGTACCTAAAACCATAGGGGCGGAGCTGGACTCTGTTGTTGACAGGAAAGTACCAGGTCCCGAAAATCATGATGTGTTACTGAAAGATTCATTATACTCAGCGATCGGGCTTGCCTCCGCAAGTCTCGAGCAGCATTTGGATTTCAACAAATTTTTAGAAACTACACTTGTCCCAGAAGTGCAGATTCAAGAGCAGGGCTATAACGTTTTGAGACGGAGAATTGCCATTCTCTTGGGCCAGTGGGTGCCAGTCAAGTCGAGCGAGCTGAACACAGCTGCCATCTATCAGATCTTCCAGCACCTTCTTAGCAAGCAAGACCCGTTGAACGATTTGGTAGTCCGCATCACAGCCGGTAGACAACTAAAGAACGTGCTAGATCCGTTCGAGTTCTCCCCCACTGGATTTCTGCCCTATGCTCCCTCCATCCTTCAAGACTTGATGTCTTTGGTTCAAGAGGTTGAACTCTCTGAAACCAAGATGGGACTTTTAGATACGGTCCGCGTGGCTGTAATCAAGATGGAAGACCATGTATGAATTTTCTTATCCCTCTATACCTTCACACAGGTATGCTAATGGCCCCGCAGATTGCCCCGTTCTCGGATCAGATACTGTCGTTGCTACCCCCGCTATGGGAAAGTTCCGGGGAGGAACATCTCATGAAACAGGCTATTCTTACCTTACTGTCGTCGTTGATCAACTCCCTTAAGCAGGATTCAGTGCGATACCACTCTCTCATCCTACCTCTCATTCAGAACTCAGTGGAGCCAGGCTCTGTACGTCTCACCTTGCTCCTTGTTGGACTGATCCGTGCAGGCATACTAATTCGCTCACAGGAAACACTAGTATACCTGCTCGATGAGGCACTAGACCTCTGGGGTGCTATTTTGACGCAAACTCCAGCCCCAGCTTCTCCTGAAATCCTTTCTCTTCTTCCTGCACTTCTCCCCATTTTTGAAGCCGCCACAGATAGTGTACCGCAAGCCCTTCAAATCGCAGAATCATATGTCTACCTTGCGCCACAAGAGGTGCTCAGTGACCGAGTACGACTTCCTTTCCTCGCTTCCCTTGAGAGTCTCTTGAAATCTACAACACGCCAGCGCCTCGGCGTCGTGCCACGCCTAGTCGAGTTAATAATACGTGGCACTGAGGCCGTGGATGGCGGCAGCGAAAATTCATATAATGTTATCACACGATCGCTCCTCGACAGTTCCTTCCTATCATCTCTCCTGGAAGGCCTCTACTCCGCCCACGAGGCCAGCCAGACTACCGGACCTAACAGAAAACAAACATCTGTATATGGCGTCGTTGAGACGGACTATTTCTCCGTCCTTGCCCGCTTAGCACTCGCGTACCCAAAGATCTTCGCATCAGCCGTTTCCGCCGCTACGGGGACATCTGAAGAACAAGCCATTACCTGGCTGCTCACAGAATGGTTCCTCCACTATGACAATATCGGAAGCACAACGCAAAAGAAACTTCATGCGCTTGCACTCACCCAACTACTCAACCTGAATGGCCCAGACACACAACCACCACCATACATACTTAGTCACCTCCAATCCTATCTCAACACATGGGCAGACATCGTCACCGAGCTCGCCGAAGGAACCGAGACCGAAAATGACCCCCATGCTGGCGACCATCTGGTCTACTGGAATCACGCAGAAACTGGCAAGTGGGATGAGAATGAACCGCCCGAGAACGAGCGCAAACGTCACTGGGAAAATTCTGACATCCTTCACAAGATCAGCATTCGCGACTTCATCCGAGATCGACTGCGCTCGTTGGTTGTTGGATGCGGCGGTGAACAGCGATTCCAAGACGAATGGCTCCTCAACGTCGATCGTGAAGTTGTATCTGCATTTGTCGCCCTTGGGCTTTTCTGATAGATCACTCTACTCCAAATCTTGGACTTGGTTTCTTCCGTCACCTATGAGGTGGTCAATGCCCACTCTACAATCTATTACAGCTGCATATTCATGCGGCCCTTGCTGCTTGCGAGACTTTTACGATGGCAGATGTCTGTTCGCATCTTGAGTCCCGATGCAGCCGGATTGTGACAGTGGGTTGCCCTGACATTTCTAATACGTCCTGAACTTATGGTGCTCACGAAGGGAAGGGAAGGCTTTGCATGCGGCTCTAGGACTAGCGTTACTCCCCTCAACGTATTACCATATTAGATAAACACAACCGGGGTCCTCTCCGGACTCAAACCTATTCTATCTTCTTTCCAGTTCTTTTCCATGATTCTAGCTAGTGGCTATGATTTTCTTTTTATCAGCAAGCCTGACTATGTGTATTGTACATGACTTAGCAGCTCAAGCTTCATTTACTGCTGGACAGCGATATCATGGGTATATAAATCATGTTGAGGAAGCTCCTGGCTGTTGGCTAAAGAGCTCAAACTTTCTGCAGAATATAGTAAACCAAGCATCCGGTGACAGCTAATCGCACAGTACGTTAAACATAGAACCATTAGAGACTCCCACCCGCAGCTCCCACGATCTTAAGTCCACTAGCACCGCCACCTCCAGGACCGTCTGCTGTAGTAGAGTACGCAAGCCAGTAACGCGAGGGGTGCCATGCGACGGCAGGAATGCCCGAATTAACCCCGCCACCAGTAGGAACAGTATAGACACTTTCGCCCGTTTCAGCATGGAAGATCTCAATTCCGTTGCCGCCACAGCCTACTTCATCACAAGCACCGCAAATAAATCTCCCGTCGAAGCTCCAGCTCACCCCACGGACGGCCCCACCATTATTACTAGACACGGTGCGTCGACAAATCCAATCCGATGTATCCCAGAGAGAGATAAGGGCGTCACTGCCGCCGATGGCGAGATAGCGTCCCGTAGGTGCTAGGGCTATAGAAAGGCAGGCGGATGTGTGAGCGTTGAGGGTGTGGAGGACGTCGAAGGATGGATAGGATAATATTTTGACCGTGCCTTCGCCGGTTGTTGCGAAGAGGTGAAGGTCAGGCGAGGTTGGTGTGGAAATGTGATGAGAGAAGGTTGTTGCGTTTGTTTGGATGGGCTGTGGGTGAGAGTCTAGGACTTTATAGGTGGTTGGGCCTGCGATGGGTTTCTGAGACTGCGTGGATGGGATACTTATTGCTCCGCTTTCGAGCACAGTTGGGGTAGAAGGTGATTCGATGGAGATTGGTATCAGAGTATCATCCTAATGATTAAGAAAGAATATACCAGTCAGTCCAAGTTTCGGTCACTTGTCTGTGCCCTATACAGGTTCAAAGGAGCTTTCCTCACCTTCCTTCCAACCACCATTGTACTCCCATCAGCCGACCAAGACAAGGTGAAAGCCTCGCCGCCGACATCCAGACGGCTCACACATGTCTTCGATCGAACGTCCCAGAAGCGTACGGTACCATCAGAAGAACAGCTGGCTAGCTCCGAGTCTCGAACAGGGTTAAATAAGACTTTCTCGATCCCCGCGGTGTGACCGCGGAGGTCAGTCGAGTATTTGACTTGCGCGCGCTCAGGGTTCCAAATTCGAAGGGTACGGTCCGCTGAGCCTGTAGCAATAAGCTGGCCGGTAGGGTTCCATGCTATCGTTCGGATTCTACCAAGAATGACATATATCATCAGCTTGAACCTGTTCTGGGAGGTGTTGTGCAGCTGCAACAGTTTTCTTGGACGGAGACACACGTATGAGATCCGGGCGTTCGCGCGATAGGGTCATGATAGCTCTGAGTCTTGAGGCTTCCAAATGAGAATGCAAATCGCTCCTTGGGAAGTAAATTGCGGCGGGGAGGTGCCATTGTTCGTAGCTGCCGTTCCTGCTGCCGGAGTCGTGATGATGGCGGCGATGGTAGGAGCAACCCACGTTAATGCCCCGAGGGGCTGTGGTCGATGAGAGTCGGAAGAAACTTTCGCGAGAGGGTGTAGGTAGTTACCCGGGACTTGCAACCACAATATATAGATAGTTGCACCGAGAAATCGTCTGTTGCATATCGGTGTTTGGAGTAGCGGCGGCAAGGATAAAGGCGGATGATCAAGCTAGTTCATGCCTTGGTGCCTTAGGCATTAGAAATTTCATGCGCATCATCATCATCAACGATTGCCAATTCGGCACAATACCTCACTCGGTGATTGCAATGTGACGTCAACAGGGAATCTGCGTATGTATTTATACTGAACTGTGGAAAGTCGATAACGCGCTTTTTCCATTGTGGTTCGAGATCTATTTTCGCAACCGAGACGCATGAAACTATTCAAGAAAATCAAATTTCAGTAACAGCCGAGAGACAACAGTAACAGAGAACCTTCTTATGAGTAACACACTCCAAATAGTTGCTATATTTCCTTTTCCTGAATGTAACCAATGGATCTAGGATACTAGTAGTTTTATAGAATCGAAGCTGACGGCCGAATCCGTGTATTGGGGGTCCATTGTCCAATCAGATGACGCCCGCTTTTCCATCGCATCCAAAAGACATCAAATTTCAATGTCAAAGTTGTTTTTGACGAAGTACCAGTATAACTGATCTGTTGATTCCCCATTGAAATATATATGATTTGCTTACAGTAGGTAAAGCATTATTAGAAGCCTGAGATAATTCTCCATTGGGGTTCTTAAAACTTAGTAACAACCTTCGACAGATTCTTCCAACCAACCACAGCGTGCAATTTGATCCCAAAATCCCAGTGCATAGGACTACATACTAGTATCTATAGAGATTGCCCAAGACAAAATCACCATGTTCGATCTGGAAGATGACGCGTCTAGGCGCGAGAAGTGCTACACGGCAGTGGCTCAACTGCCTTCCTTCATCGATTCCAAACAGCCGCCTCTGAAAAAACCACCCTTCTCGGCCATTTGGGGACATCCGTTTGTGCACACGGTAATTGACCCTTTTATTTCTCTATTACAACTTTCCTTGTGTGAAATTGTCTAGTTGACCAGGTATGAACAGGTGGAGGTTATATTACCTGAAGCAACCTACAAAACTATTGAGAGCTCATTCAATACTAAGCTTTCCAAGCTGCGATATGCTAGAGTATTCATGTCACTGTCGTCTCTGCTTGAGGGGGACTTCTTCAATACTTATATCAAATCAGGTACCTAAGAATCTACTACACCAGTCCCGCTTCATTCGGTGGGGGTCGGTACTCTAGATGAGGGCTACTCTAACTACGTTATAGGAGATGTTCTCATGATATCAGAGGGACGTTCCGGCTCAGATAACGTGTTTACTCTGAGAGATGGTATGGTACACCCTTTCCGGGCATACTATTCATCCGGCAACTGTTATATACTGACCTACCTATAGGAGTCCTGAAATTAGAACTTGGAAAGGAGATATTTGAACGGACAGGCCTAACAGGGAAGCCCATCCGTAGTGGGGGCAGAAAACATGCAAAAGAAAGATATAGTACGTATTTATATGAATTACCATCACCCTAGATATATATACTGACGTGTTCCAACAGTCGTGGAGATCAACCTGCGGCTGCCGTCAATGCTTCACGGTAAGAAATGTTTTGAGAGAATAGTATGGGCATTCAAGAATGTCCTCAATCACACCGTGGCCTGGCTCTTCTATGACCTGGCATCGGAGTCGAGTGGTATTTCCTCCGGTACTCATAACCCATATCTTTCGCCCTCATTTTCACGTACTCACGAATGACTAGACGATCCTTCCCTGAAAGGAAACCACCCTCACATCATAGACTGCGAACCAGTGCGCGCCGATTACTGTGATGTCCTTGTTCCACCTTTCAAGGGAATAGAAGCCACAGGATTGGCGCCAGAGCAGGAATTAAAGGATAATTGCGACGAAATTTCCGAATGGCTTGGGATGGTGACTCTCGGGTCTCCTCGAGTATTAGCGAGCGATGATGTAGACCCATACCTATGTCGCTATAGCGTACCGGATGCGGACGAAGCAAAGCTGTCAGATATAGTTAGTTTGAAATGGCATGGTCTCCTTCCTCCCAAATGGATCACGGGGCTATTCCTTACTCTACTGTATGTTGTTGATCTTCTCCCTTAACCCCCTGTTAGTTTATCAAGCATCGCATGCTGACTGCTTGATTCTCAGAAAAGAGACTGGCCCGAAAGATGCAGAAGCCTCGGCCTGGTTTGCTTTCTCCGCGAGTGCCCTGGGGAGGGAAGCCGTGGAAGGAAAAGACGGCTATACGGTTCTGACATTGCCTTCTGTAGGCAGAACTGGTGATAATGTGCAAAAGAGCTCTAATACTAGATCTACAATCGGTCGCTCATGTGTTTGTTGGGAGTACGTCGGCGTGTCAATTGTTTAGAAATGAAACATATATCCCACACTACGTTAGGAGTGTATACATTTAAACTTATAAAAACCGAGAGCAACTAGAATATGAAACTGACGTGTCGACTATGCCCTGACATGTAGCTATCAGATGGTTAACCAATACACCCTATCTACCTTCAAATACAAGACCTTATTACGAGTTGTTTTGCATTGCCCTTTACATTTTGCTGCAACGTGGATTGATTTGAGCATGGACAAGAACTGCTCAGATATAGAGCACGGATTACTCGATTCAATATATAAAGCCAACCGTATATTGGTACCAACCAATATTCAAAATTTGATGTCCCAGCTGCTCCTGCCCCTCCAAGTCATTATTTTAAGCCCAAGTGAATAGTATAACTCCAACAAAAAGATACCCATAAACAGAAACATATCCAAGAAAGTACGGGAAATTGTAACGTTTTGGATGCTTACAATCATCCAATAAGGTCGTTCACCACATCTTGAAGCACCGGTCTATTCCCAAGGACCTTGCTACCACTCAGCAGCTTGGCTCCCCTCTTTGCCGGCTTCCTGAGGCCCTGTGGAACATTTCGGCTTTGTACTGGACTTAGAGGGTTGCGGGCCTTCTTTTGAGAGGTAGGACTCCTCTTTGGACTGGGCGTTGATCTTTCTTGTGGCTGGGGTTGTGTGTGGATGTTGTCAGAGTCGAAGGCGTGATCTTCCACAGCGCCCTTTGGCAAGTCGTATACCCAGTCTTGCTCTTCGACTAGCTTCACATATTTTCCTAGCAACTCATTACCGCCACGAAGAGTGCTCTTGCTTCCAACAACAAGGAGCTTTGTTCGTGCTCGGGTAAAAGCAACATTAACCCGTCTCCAGTCACGAAGAAGATCGCCGACATGGTTGTCTGAATTGCTGCGCACGCAACTCAGTACCACAACTTCTTTGTCTCGTCCTTGGAATTTGTCTGCGGTGTGCATTTCGAGATCCGGTAGGTGATGGCGCAAATTCTGTTTCAGAAGCGAAAGTTGGCTGCGATAGAACGTGATGACACCAATGCTTCGTGCTGGTATGCCGCAAGAGATGAAGGCCTCCACGAGTTGGGCGCAGAGTGTTGCCTCGGTAGGGTTGACGATTCGCGACCCCTGTGCTACATCTAAGGCTGGTGTGGCCAGGGTGTCTGTGTTAACAAGGCGGGTTTTGATGGATGGGTCGACTAAATCGCGAAGCCAGCAGCGACCCTGACTTGTACCCAAACAGAGCTGCCTTTGCCCTTGGGGTCGGATGTGGTCCAAATGAAGATGTCTGAGACCGCCGAAATTGGGTACCTCCAAAGATCGCGTAGCAACCTCCTGGGTCCCACATTTGAGCTGCCCAGAGTAGATGAGGGTATTTGAGAGGAGCATAATGTCTTTGCACATTCGATACTGATGTTCAAGATTGACGACAGATGCCGGATGAGAGTCAGAGAGAAGCTTGAAGAGACTAACGTCGAGCCCCCCTGCTTGAGCCTCTTTATTCTGCACAAGAGGTGGAAGTTGGTAATGATCGCCGACAAGGATGAATGTCCTTGCCATTCGGATCGGGCCTAAACATACAGGCAAGGTGATCTGGGAGGCTTCGTCGACAATGCAATAATCGAATATGCGCTGACTAAAAACGCTGTGGCCGATCCCAAGACAGGTTGTTGCAACAACCTGCGAGTCCTCATATGCGCCTTTAAGTTCTTCGATTGTACTTTTGGGAACTGCCGCAAGGTCGGCAAACTGCTGAACCTCAGGATGCACCTTCGCAGCAGCCCCAATCCGCAAGATACGAATGCTATCATCTTGAATCTTCAGAAGTATATTGTCAACTGCTGTGTGAGTATACGACGTGAGGAGCACACTTTTTCCTTGCGATACTAATGCCCGAATTATGTGGGCAATGGTTGTCGTCTTGCCTGTCCCCGGCATTCCCAATACCAAAGCATAGTCTTTAGCGCTCATTACTTTATCAATAGCTTGTTTCTGATCGACATTCAGGCTTGCCCTGTCGGCGTCAGACATTTTGTAAGCGGACAATGTGGGTTGGAAGGTGGGAGCGGATCCTTCAACGATTAGTCTCCTAAGATTCTTGGCTTGAAACAAGTCTCTTTCCATCATAGCAACTAGATTTGCTCGAACAATGGCCATGCCATTACTGAACTCGTCTTTGTCTAATCGGTAAACGACCTCTTCTTCTGGCTCATTTGATGGATTTGAGGCAGCAGCATCGGCACCGGGGATTTCCATTATGCCCCTGAATGTTTGATTTGTTTTCGCATCAAAACCTTTGGACCTGGTTCTGGCATTATGCAGTCGGCGATCCACTGCGACAGAGATGCGTTGGGGACTGACTTGAATGACATAGCCATTTGCAAGCGCAAAGTGTCCCTTTTCATCAGATATCACAACCGGCTCTCCAACGGTGAGCTGTGACTCAGTGAAAGAGAAAAATGGTGTTGACCGTCTTTTGACAAAGGTATAGCGAAAGCGATTTATCTTTACCCCGTCTTTGTCTTCAAAGGCTGACCCTAGCTCGATGACAATATTGCCGAAGCACCGACCGAGAGCCTCCCGCTCACTGCTTAGCAATGTCCAAAGCTCCCGCTTAAATCTCATCATACTTTGCTCCTCCTTTGTGAGCAGATCATCCCATTTTCGGAAAAAGTCACGATCTTTGGGTGTCAGGTGGTCCATAGCCTTCACGAACTCGTCGCCGAGCCCACTTGATTCTCCGTCGCCATCATCAACGAGTTTGTGATAGATAAAGCAAGGTGTCTTGGAGAAGCATTTGTTGCACAATGCCTGCCTTTTAACCATGGGTGGTAGTTGGGCTCTTCGGCACATATACCCGGCTACTCGATTTCGAGCTTGAATCATCTGGAGGAGCTCATGACGAATGCCGCGAATTCGGAAGATCTTCGACGTCTCAAGGTAGTAAAGAAGGCCGAATGTAACTTCCACATCTGATGAAGATAGGTAAGGTTAGAATAAGCGCATCATCTTGTGACAAGGCCTAGGCTCACCGTAGCGATCAGAAAGCAAAAGGGTATAGAGAGCCGTCTGAGCCCTATGTGCATGGTTTGTGTCTCTGTTACCCGTCTTAAGCTCAAGGGGCACAACCAAATTCTTGTCGCTCTCGCCATCATGGCAGGCAACTTGTACAGTAGCATCAATATTGCCTTTTAGTCCATACATAGGAGACCAGATGTGTTCTTCAACCTCAAGTAGTTTGTTGATACTCAGGCGGAGTTTGGAACTATTTCGGTCTTCAACAAGGGATTGCGCCTATTGGTAAAGATGAGTACGCATGCCATCGTATGTTGCTGAAAAATTCCACTCACGCTTGGCTTTGCCTTGAGGAAAGTGTCTGCCCATGACATCAAGGCTGGAATTTTGCTCATCACATAATCGATGGCTTCAGAAATGCTCATGTGGATCAAGTACAGTTCCTCAATATGTTTCACAATGACCATTTCAACCAAAGACCTCAGTGAGGATATGTCCCATTGATTGGCCTTCATTGCCTCTTGGAAAACTTCATGGAAAATATTCCCAAACACTTGGGGCTTTCCAATGTCACTAGTGTTTTTAATACGGTCCTGAAGCACAGCACGCCGCTGGCAACCAATCGAATCCGCGACAATGGTCGCTGAAACTAGATGGTCCGGGTGAAGAATTATCATGTTGTGAGAATCATTGACGATGCAATGGCCTGCTGTATCAAAATCGCCGATTAAATGAATATATGAATCTTTGCAGCATGGACTATCAAACCATGATTCCCTCAGCACAACAACCTTCTTCTGAGAGGTTCTTTCATCTTGTACTAACAACACCTGATTACAATGTCAGCTTCTACCTGTAAGACTTCTAAAGTTTGCGGCGGCAAACCTTTTCTGGCTGGAGGCGTCCCTTTTCAGTGGTATAGGTAGACTCGGCAATATCAACAATCAAGTAGCGCTTGATGGCTTGTCGACTAAAGTTCTATTTATAATATACTTAGCAAATATCTAGGAAATATACCCACTAAGAGTGACAAACATAATTTGATCCATCTGCACCTGATTGCCTCATAGACTGCTCGATAGCCTCCATGTCAAATTCATCATCGTCAAATTCGTCACCAGAGGATACTTCCTGTGGCATGTTAACCCCTCGGACTGGCTTCGCAATTACCGTAGATGAGTTATCCGTGCCACTTTCCAGCCCAGATAGGTTGGAGGCCGTATCGTCCTTTGGGATGGGCCTCACAAGCTTCGTACTTGGAGCCGCATCGCACTCAGCAAAAATATCATCTATATTATCCGAAAACTCATCAAATTCATCGTCTTCAAAGCGAACCCTCTTGGGGGAATAGTGGGGTTTCTTAGGGACCGCTTCAGAATTCAGAGTTGTTGCATGAGCATGGGGGTTTTGCTTTTCATCATGTGGCTCGTAAGTGTTCGTCGAAAGGAACGTGGTATTTCCTCTAGTAACCATTGCGCCTGGCAGGCTACCATGGTCAACAAATGGATCCATCGAGGCTTCCGCAATTTCAAGAAAATCCTGATCAAATTCATCGTCCCCGAAATCAGACGAAGAGGCCTGCTCTTTGCCTTGGGGTTCAGGATAGACATTATTGACATTGTTATCCCGATTTGCCTTAAATAGAGAATGATGGCCAGGTCTATCTTGCATGGGAGACGTTGACCGGCTTCGTTGAATGCCTTTGCGTCTAGGCACAGGCGATGAATCAGGTGCAGTGATGTGGGAGTTCGGTGACTTTGGCGCATTTCGGAGGCTCTTTTCGATCTTCTCTACGAGAAAATTGATCTTAGACGAATTGATACTTCCAGAGTCAACAACGTCGCTTCTTGACCGAGAAAAGATGCCGCGACCTGTGCCAACGCCTCCGCCATCGATCCTCCTTCGTTTAGTTTTAGAACTGGGCCATTCGGCGTTGCAACTATTCGATCGTCTTAAGCCAGAGGAATCACGACCTGTCCTAACTGGTGGGGGAGTCTGTGGAGAGGAGGAAAGGAGGTGTGTGAATTGAGGTGGTGGTAAAGTTCCATTGCCGTTGGCAGTGAGTTTACCCACATAGTTGTTCCATAGTTCGGTTGCGAGGTCGTTCTGTGGAGTCCTCTGAAGCCCCTGCAATGACGCATGCATGTCAAGAGACTCTTGATCTGCACCTTTCGAATTTCCAGCTAAGGGCGAACTGGTTGGGGAAGAGATATGCTGGCGTTTCCTGACTTGTGTTGCAGGTGTTTGAGACATCGTGTCCGGATTCGAGCTCGCAGGGACATGCTGCCAAATGACATAGTCTTCAGGCGTAAATTCTTGCACTGGGGCTTGGCTGATGGCATCTTCAGCATTGCTAATCAAATCTGCCAATGGAATCCTATTCGCAGGAGTTTGAGGGCATTCCTTGGCTGCCTTCGCATCTGATTTATCAACCGAAGCTTCTCTTTTAGTTGAATCGGCTTGATCTAACCGAGTAACACCATTCAACCACGACGATTGATTCTCCTTGTTCGCATGTGCTGGCTTTATGGACGATTTGGACGGCGATCTCTTAGACGGTGATTTCTCAATACTTGTATCATCTCTGATGTATCGAAACGCATTCAGCTTAGAGCGGGAATTCGAGGAAATAGGATATGAATTGGTGTCCTTATCCATAGGGTTCATAGTTAGAGCTGCTCGTCTTCTGTACGAGAGCAGCAGAGCATCTCGATTAGTCTTAAGTGGATATAGTTAGTGCTGAAAAGCCTGCGGAGAATGTGTACCTATTAGTCGACGTCCTGGAATGAAGAATAGAGATGGCAATTGTTTCCCAATTCTGGAGATGGATTCAAGGAAGTGACATGCATGGATCTAACTCAAGTAGGATTTGTGTCTTGACGCATGCAATCGCATGAATCATGGACTCTAGATTCAGCGATAAGGAATCGCCAGACGCGTCGCGCGCGTCGGTGTGTTCTGCCTTAGGCATATTATTAGCCTTAAATTGCAGGCATGAAGAAGGTATGTGGGCTGACCAGATCGGGACTAGCGTAATGACTCCATCGGCCTTTTGCGGCTTCTGAACATCAACCGCTGTTCAAACCGTCACCCCTCCAACTTAACGCCTCCTGCGCCTTCTACGACAGCGGTCGGATTAGGAACTGATTAATTGGACCGATAATTATCATCGCCGGTCGAAGGAACATCGAATTTGACGTCTTAACCGACCGTCCTTGCCTGTTTGGAACCGACAGGGGCCTCAACCCGCCACCGCCTGTCCCTTATCATCGACTGCTTTAACGACCAGGAATTCGTTAGATTTTCCGCTACTCTTCATAGTCGCAATGTCTGCTCGTACTTTGTCGCAAAGCCTTCGCGCCCGCTGCCTTTTCCGCAGACCTCAGAACGTTCAGGGTTTCTCGACTCGTACCAACCTCCGTGCTGCTGATCATGGAGATCACTACGACCCTCCCACTGGGTGGCTTTTCGGTGTCAAGCCAGGCCAGAAGTACGTGAAGGAAGGCTGGGAGAACATCTGGTATTACGGATTCATTGGTAGCTTGCTCGTTGCCGGTGTCGCATATGTCTTCAAGCCAGACACCTCGTACGTTAATCCCTTGCGCTCGGCTTGCTATCAGCACGCTCGCTATAAACAGCAGAAGCTGCTATGCTGCATGAAGTGAGAAAATTTACTTATGCACAGAACTAACTTTCTGGTAGTATACAAACATGGGCCTTGGAGGAGGCACGGCGGAGACTGGAAGCCGAGGGTATCCTGGAGGACCCCGAGAAAGCTCAGAGGAAGTAAAGGACAATATTTGTCCTCAGTATTTCCTTGTACATTGTACATAGAGCGGTCGGACATGGAAAACAGTTTCGGATGAGATGTTGTACCTGTGCTAGCGGATACGATTCGCCAGCCCAGTCTAGACAGGTCTTTTTATTCCCTTTCCTATGTTCTTTTTTCTTCTTACATTCTGCATGTACTCTGTCAACGTATATTCTGGGATGCTTTCACCGATTGCTTTAGAAAGTTGCGCAAAAGCAAGGAATACAAATGTCCAATCGCAAATAGCATTCTATCTATCGTCTAGTTTCAGCCCTTGCCTATATTCATCGGTAAGAACGGGTAACGGCTTATTGACGGAGCTTGTTCTAAGGACATCTCTGCCCAGATGACTACTACGGGCCAGGCCATTATACCTCTGGATATATGTCTGTCCTTCTGAGAAGTGGTATTTCTCTCCTGACCTTCGCTAGAAGGTCCAAATCAATATCCGCGAAGGCGATTTGCGGTTCTGTATATTCGTCGCCAAGTTGGGTTATGACCTCTCCCCAAGGGTTCACAATCATCGAATGGCCATAGCTCCTTCTTTTCTCATTGTGAGGGCCCGCTTGCGCCGCTGCTATCACATATGACTGGGTTTCAATAGCTCTGGCCCGTAGTAGTGTTTCCCAATGGGCCTTTCCTGTGGGAACCGTGAATGCTGAAGGATAAGTGATAAGCTGGGCGTTTTGCCGCTTCAAAGCCAGGCTAATTTCGGGGAAACGCAGCTGCAAGATGATATCAAATTAACCTCATCCAACATGGCTTCAAAACCCGATAACTTACATCGAAACATATGGCTAAGCCGACACGTCCAACAGGAGTCTTGAATGGAGGTAGAATTTCCATTCCTTTCTCGACGCTCCTGGAAATAATGGTCAGTACATTTACTATGGTTCTCATAATATACCCTGGTGCAACCTACGTGCTTTCCTTTAGTACCGGACCGCCTTCGAGCTCTACATCAAATAGATGAATTTTCTGGTAGCGCTGCGTAATAATGCCTTTTTCATTGATCCAGATAAGAGTGTTTTTTACTCTACCATCCGGGGATGGTTCGTGGATGCCGACGTTTATGTGTAAATTAGACTGCATGGCCTCCTTCTGTAGACCCAGTACAAATTCACTATCATGCACAGAGCACGCAAGTGAGATTGTCTCTGCTGGTGAGGAACCTATATAGTCTGTCGCTTCGGGAAGAAACAGCGCCTGGTTATGCATTAGTTAGAACCTGCAAGTCAATGACATATACTGTACTTTAGCTCCAGCAGCAACGGCTTTGCGCACCAGTATCTGACACTGGGCCAGATTGGCAGCCATGCTCGCAGTCGAGCATAGTTGCCCCACGGCCTGTCGAGTTAACGAGTTAGTGGCTAGAGTTGCTCTTCTTTTATTTGTTTTCTTGAGGACTCCTTACTGCAACAACCATTTCTACTTAATTTAAACTTACAATCTGTCCGTAGTGAATTCGTATCAGAATGTATGTTATCTATTGGAATGAAGGTAGTTATGATTTAGTTGGAGCACGTTATCTGATACGATTACGGAGTAGTGAGGTACCTAATCGGGAGACTTTCCCATTTTGGGACAACATTTATCTCAACTGCGCTCCAGCAGCGGAACCGAATCTGAATGAACGCCACTGACTGCATCAACATCATATAGAGCAGCTTTATGATAAGAAAAACCTGACTCCAACTGTCAGGTCACATAGCTGCCAATATGAAAAGCTTACGGAGGGACTTCTCTTCTGACCCGCATACCGCAAATGTCACTAGCAAAATCTTCGTTAGGTCGACAAAAAGTGGAAAGGTGCAAAAGATCGTTCGTGAGCTTTACCTGAGACAGGATATTCCTTGCTCATCAAAGCTGTGTTCAACATGCCCCTCGGTCGCTCCAGCGGATGCAAATGGAAACAGTGAGTAAGATCAGTGTAAAACACTGCGTCTAGTGGCTAATGCGACACAGTTGCGCCTTTCGTTCTTTCAGAGCACCCCGCCGGTACAACCGCTTTCCCTCGTGGCCATTACCTCGTTCCTGATACCAACGCGTTGCTGAATGGTATGGATCTATTTGAACATACCGGCGCATTCTACGATGTGATCATCCTTCAAACAGTTCTTGAAGAACTCAAGAACCAGTCTCTACCCCTCTACAACCGCTTGCTTGCTTTAATCAAGACCGACGAGAAACGCTTTTACCTGTTTTTCAACGAATTTAGAATGGAAACACATGTGCGGAGAGGGCCAAATGAATCGATCAATGACAGGAATGACCGTGCCGTCCGTGCTGTAGCAAAATGGTACACCGAGCATTTACGAGCCGCAGCGAAGAAGGGAAAGAAAGAGAAGACAGTGCCTGCTATTGTTGTTATCACGGACGACAAAGACAGCTTGCGCAAGGCAAAGGAGGAGAACGTGACAGCCCTATCGTTAACCGATTACGTCTCGGGCTTGGAGGATTCCGACAGATTACTCGATATGATCAACGAGTCAAGAGAACAAAGAGAGACCAAGGGTGTACGCGGAGAGCTTTTTTACCCAGAATACTATACAATGTCCAAGATAATGACTGAATTGAGGGCTGGTACCTTACATCAAGGTGTCTTCAATGTGTCTCCGTACAATTATCTTGAGGGTTCCGTCAATGTCGCAGCATTTGACAAGCCTCTTCTTATTCTGGGTCGCGACAACAGTAATAGAGCTATTTCTGGGGACGTCGTTGTGATTGAAGTGCTTCCTAAGGATCAGTGGAAATCCCCATCAACTAAGATTGTGGACGAAGAAGCAGTAACCAAGAACGACAACCCTGACGCTGAGGATAACGAGGCCGTGGTCACTGAAAGGGAAAGAAAAGCTTTACAGGAAGAGGTCAGACAAGCGCATGGAAAGAATACAGAAGGAAGGCCTCAGCCAACAGCTAAGGTTGTGGGCGTGATCAAACGAAACTGGCGGCAGTACGTCGGACACGTTGACTCGGGATCGACAGGCTCCCAAGCTAGCTCTGGTCGGCGTCAGCAAAATGTTTTCGTTTTGCCCATGGATAAGCGTGTACCTAAGATTAGGGTGCGCACCAGGCAAGCCTCCGAATTGCTGGGTCAACGAATTCTCATCACAATCGATTCATGGGATCGTGATTCTCGGTATCCTACTGGACACTTTATTCGTTCATTGGGAGAGCTCGAAACAAAGGGAGCTGAGACAGAAGCCCTGCTACTCGAATACGATGTACAATATAAGCCGTTCCCTAAAGCCGTTCTCGACTGTCTTCCTGCAGAGGGACATGACTGGAGGGTTCCCGCCAGTAAGGAAGATATCGGCTGGAAAGGCCGCAGAGACCTCAGAGACCTCCTTATATGTAGCATTGATCCACCAAACTGCCAGGATATTGACGATGCTCTTCACGCACGCCCGTTGCCCAATGGCAACTTTGAAGTTGGAGTCCATATCGCAGATGTATCACATTTCGTTAAGCCGAACAATGCGATGGACCTAGAAGCTAGTCTGCGTGGTACAACAGTCTATCTAGTCGACAAACGTATTGATATGCTTCCACACTTGCTTGGTACCGATCTTTGCTCGCTCAAGCCTTACGTGGAACGTTATGCTTTCTCGGTTCTGTGGGAGATGACTCCAAATGCTGAGGTTGTTTCCACAGACTTCACCAAATCCGTCATTCGTTCTCGTGAAGCCTTCAGTTACGAGCAGGCCCAGATGCGCATTGACGATCCATCGAAAAAGGATGAACTAACCGAGAGCATGCGCACCTTGCTTCGGTTCTCCAAGATTCTCCGCCAGAAGCGTATGGATGCAGGTGCACTGAACCTGGCCTCGCCTGAAGTTCGTATCGAAACCGATAACGACGAGGTTGGAGATCCACTTACGGATGTCAAGACAAAAGCTATGCTCGCAACCAACAGTCTCGTTGAAGAATTCATGCTTCACGCCAATATCACTGTTGCAGCGAAAATCTACAGTACATTCTCCCAAACTGCCATGCTACGACGACACGCCACCCCTCCACCACAGAACTTTGAAGAGCTCATTAATCAACTTTCCAAGAAGCGGGATATGAGGCTTGATGTTTCTAGCTCACGCGCCCTGGCCGACTCGCTTGACCAGTGTGTCGATGCTAAGAACCCCTTCTTTAACACCCTAGTCCGCATTCTCGCTACCCGATGCATGACATCTGCAGAGTATTTCTGCGCAGGTGCTCATGCTGAGTCGGAATTCCGTCACTATGGTTTGGCCTCTCCCATCTACACGCATTTTACATCGCCAATTAGACGATATGCCGACTTGTTAGTCCATCGACAACTTGCGTCTGCTATTGGATATGAAGGCGAAGACGGCCGGGCAGTCGTTGAAGGTGTTATGACCCGCAACCGTCTGGAAGACATTTGCCGCAATATCAACTACCGCCACCGCAATGCCCAACATGCTGGTCGAGCTAGCATCGAGTACTACGTTGGTCAGGCATTAAAAGCACGCGGCGAGAAGCTATCCACTAACGGAGTAGACGGCGGCATCGAAGAAGAAGGTTACGTCATGCGCGTTTTTGAGAACGGCGTGGTAGTTTTTGTTCCGCGATTTGGTATCGAGGGTGTGGTGCGTCTGGAAGACTTTGTGCTCAAGGGTGATTCTGCCCTACGATCTGTTGAGGAACGACGAGAACTAGTAGTCCGTCGCGAGAGCGAATTTGACAATGAGGAATACACTCTTCAAGTTTCGGATAAGGGTCACTCTGATCAAGGCATGAGCGTGGAACTCTTCCAGAGAGTCAAGGTCAACGTCAGCTCCGTGAAGGAAGAAAGTGGCCGGGGTGCAGGAAAGAGAAGGGTTAGGGTGTTGATTTTGGGAGCTCAAAATTAGGAACAAAGATAAAACATAACATGTCTAAGGATGTCAGTTGGGTGTTGGTCATAAAAAAGAGATTATCCGGAGTCTAGTGGTATTATAATTAGATCTTGTATTACTGTCTGGTCCATGTATACTTTCATTTACATTATTAGACTGAATAATATCTATCCAATTGGATTTACCTGGATTACTGCTGTCACACTCTTTTCAGTGTAACCATGCCACGAAGTAGTGCAACTGGCGACCAGAGCCTAACCTCAGGTATATGATCGGAAGTTGGAGGTTCCATTGCCGGCTGGTTCCTCTTCTCATCTCCAACCCTATGGGAGCTTCCGACCTTGACACCGTTATCATTCGTTGTCACCGCAGCAGACGATTTCAGTTGAGCTTCCCGGTTGGTATATACCACTTTCCAACCTCGGACTATCCACAAGCACAACGAAGCACCGATGTACATAAACCCAGTGAAGATCTGGACCCTCAAGTAGATAGAGTCGTTGGAGTTGTTGTCCCGCAAGACAAGAGCAATAGCCTCAGAAACAGTAGTAGGAGCAACGAGAATGATCCAAGTAATGCTAAGACCGCTGGGGAGGTCTCTCAAACCAATGATTTCCGCAAGCACAGGAGTAACAGTTGCCCAGTACGTACCAGCCACGGTACCAACAAGGACAGCAAAGAAGCAAACGACACCCATACTGCGCGCAAAAGTCCAAATAACCAGACAGAACAAGCCGCAAAAGAAGGAAAGAATTGTAGCAATATTGATGCGGCCGAGTTTGTCACTGAACATGCCCACAAAGGGCCGACCAAGGCCTTGACCGAGATTCAGCAATGCACTGACAATGCTACCCTGATGGGATGAGAGGCCAACCGAGAGGGCGAAATTGGCTACGCTGAATAGGAGGGCAACATAGCCTAACATACTGAAGACACCCCAGCCGAGAAAAAGGAGAAATTCGGGGCGTTTGAATAAAGGGAAGTGAAAGGCTTTGTGACGGCTTCCGACGTCTTTGTTGCGGTCTTTTATCAGATTTGCGCATATTAGGTTGACGACGCATGCAATGATGCCCAAGATTCGGAAGGCCCAGCTGAGCCCCAGTCGAGGGATCATGGAGCCTACTGCTAGGGACCAGATCAATCCTCCCAGGCCGGATCCAGCGGCGTTGATGCCCATTGCGAGACTTCGTCGTCGCTGGAACCATTGAGGGATAATGCCTACGCTTCCGACGAAGAGAAATCCCATCCCCCATCCGAAACATACGCCTTGGCTAAGGAAGATGTGCCACCTTTCCGTGGCGAAGGAGGATCCAATCAGCGAGAGGGTCTCAAAGAAGACGCCCAGATTTAACACAAGTCGTGTCCCGTAGACATGGATCAGGTGGGTGGCCAGAGGAGCAACCAAAAGAGCACAGGATATGCTCAGACCACCAGTGAAGGCGTATGAGAGTGCAGAGGTATTGGGGAATACATCGTTTGAAAGGTAATAAGAGAGGAATACACCGTAGCTCTTAACTAGCGGTCAGTCTATCCTGTGTTTCTATTATTAAGGGGCAATGAAGTTTGGGAGACGGACACTGTTGATTCCCCACGTATGTGCATTAATCCAGAAGACACAGGCGACACAAACCCATCCATAGCCACCGTCTGGGGGGACATCACGTTGATATTTGTCTTCTAGGGCTTCCGAAGCTGCGTTTTGCTGCTCTTCCAGTTCGGTTTGATCTTGACGATGGTCTTTTCTATATAGTGGATCTTGCGAGATTAACTCACGGTCATAATCTCGAGAGCGAACTATATCGATAGGAGTGTTGTCTGCCATTCGTGCGACAGAAATAGATAAAAGTAATGTGTGATTTTGCGTCTCTCCGTCCGCTTACTATACATGAGAGGGCTTTACTATGCTCATGAAAGAATGAACCTTATAGATTAAACCGAGAGAAGGCTGGAGTAAAATACTCCAAGAAAACTAAGCGAGCATGAACTAATAAGAGTCGAAGTTGATGTGTCATGCATTCAACAAGAAAGGCTACGACAGTCTGATAATCGCATCCTGCCGACAAGGATTCCTTGGACCACGGTAATGACCGCGGCAGTCCCAGAGGCCGTCATTGGGCTAATGACACCAGAAAATTAATTGAGGTCGGATGTAATGCCGAGTAGCCGGTGGAGCAAAGCTTGGGAGTTGGAGACGGAGTGAAATCCGGAGAAAGTTGGGGTATCAATTTGGTTGGTAAGCTCCAGAGAAGTCTCCATGTGCCAACAGAGGACAAATCGTACAGTAAAAAGAGAGTTCGAGTGGCTCTGTAGAGATCCACGTGTGCCACATGGTTCAGGATAAGATGCTCATTTCATTGCCTGATGCTTCCAGCATGTATTGCCTGTATTATCCAAGGTAGAAATGCCCTAAAGATAGTAGTGCATCGGAGTATTCTGACTGCGCGCAGCTAAGGGAAGGCCTGGTCCATGCCCGATGACGCTTGTCCCATTATAGAGACCGGCTTAGGTCTTAGGGTTAGTGTTGCCTTCTGCGGTTAGTCCCTTGAGATAATCCCCGCGTTGCCTTTGCGACCATGTGAAACCGGTGTTTGCACTGTTTGCACTGATTTGTTGTTGTTTCCCCCCTTTCAGTCATCCAGGCCGTCAAATGCCCATTGTTACGGTTGTTATGATCAACTGAACATCATTCCGATCAGTGCCAGGCAGACTAACCCTATAGAACATTATTGATTAATCAATTCCTACTTTCCTTCCATCCAATACTAACAGACTTTAAGCATATCTCTTTGTGATGATACTCTAATCGTCCCAGCGGGGCTGAAGAGATCTTCCTAGCCCAATCTATCATTGTGCCCACCCCAGCCACCTTCTGGAACATTATTGGCTCACTGATCAACCATATGGGAAACTGACTTCATAGCTGAACAACACATCAATCGATTCTGATGACTCTCAAGATACCTTTCCCTTGAAGACTCTCTTCCAGGACAACACCACACCATGTATAGACCGTATCTGCAGCATAACAAGGCAAAAGATGGCCAACGGAAGGTCTCCCCTCCCGGGCCATCATACATGTCCGACGATCAGGTTGGTAAGTCTACATTATTGGCTGCGTAATGGCATTCTTCACTCTGCAAGGTGTTGGTGGTGTGATCATATTTTTTATTTTTGGAACTTATCTCCTGGATACTAGCATGTGGCTAACTTCTCCTCTTTACAGCAAATTATCTGAAGGACCTCCGGACAAATAGGCCAACCCGCCCAGGTGGATCGAGGCCACTCCCTACGACGCCAGCTGAGTCGAATCCTCGAGAGGACCTCCCTCCAAGGGCAGCATCAGCGATGTCTTCATACTCAAATTCGAGGATGCCGTCAACCACCACAGCGGGCGATAGGGAGCCGCCCCGCGCTACCAGTTCTTTATCTAACCATCGTCCCGTATCTTCTCGAGGATCCATAGGCAGTCCGGCAGGACGACCGCTGGTCCAAGAACCCCGAATGGTACCTGTTCGGAAGAACGTCTCGCCAACGCGGGTTTTCTCTCGTCCCAGCCCCCCATCTCCAAACACAGCATATCGCGAGAGTTACCGGCGTCGATTTGAAAGGGAGGAAGCCCAATCCCTCCGAGATGCGCTGCAAGAAATGGATATCCAAGATGACATTCGCCTCCATGAAGCTGCCCAAGATGAGGCTACGGAACTGGTTTGGATGCACCAAAACCCTGGATTGCCCTTCAAGAACCCATACGCTCCTTATCGTAATCCCGATATGGAAAGATTCAGTCAAGGATCAGATAAGAGTGGCGTTTTAATTGGCCATGCTCTCGCTTCCAAAAGCCCACGGGGGGACAGTTATCGTCTCAGGTCAGACTACTACTCAGACTCACCCAGCAGACGCGCCGAGGAACAGCAACCTGCTTCGGACGAACCAAATTCCAGCCCCAGAAAGAATGGCACACTCCGAAAGAATCTTAAAGTTGACTTTTCCTTGCCTCAAAACGGGAGCCCATCAAAACGAACGAGCAGTGGCTATGGACTGGGCCTCGGGAGTATCAGCAATGGCTCGTCAAAGGGTGTTTTTCGAAACCCCAACGACCACATATATGAAGAGCCTGGGGAGTCTCAGTATATGGATGATGAACGTCCTGATTTCTCAAGATCCGATTCGTCAGCCTTAAAAGTCAAACCACGTAATGCCCTGCCTCGAGGCTCGAGACCCCTCTCTGGCCGATTTGGTAGCCTTTCGTTCGTCGATAAACTGTCTCGTTTTGAACTACATAAGCATCCCCCAACGCAGTCAAGAAATCCTGAGTATAAGGCCAACGACCCCCTTCCCCAGGCACATCCGAATGATGAACAGGCTATCCCGAAAAAAGATGGAATTGAGATTCGAAGTGACGAAATTCGAGCAGCGACAAGTAAGAAGCTCAAAGACCGAAGTGCAAGGCTGCCCATGCCAACTGCCGTGAGTGATCGCGCTGGCCGGCCGATTGTGAGCTTTGATCCAACCTGGAAGCCCACCGAGGCTCAATCCCCAGGCAAAGATATCGACGTCGGAGCGCGCGAATCTGCTTCACCAACGCCACCCCCTGCACCTTCCGCTCCTACAATTGAGATATCCGAAGCACCTTCTATCCCAGTGATTAACCTACCGGATGACAAGCCACCTACTATTTCTGAGATGGCCGGGTCGTCACAGGATCGTAAGAAAGATGATACCTCTCTCCCGGCCTCACCCAACAGCAGCAAACGCTCAAATCCATTCCAGAGAAAGTCTCCATCGTCGGCTCTGCAGAACCGTTGGCTATCAACTTACAGTCGGGCTGGTGTCCCAACGGCGAAGTGCGAATCATGCGCTCTTCCGATTTCTGGAAAAATTGTCACTGCTGCCGGATCGCGTTTTCATCCAGAATGTTTCGTGTGCCATCATTGTCAGACACCGCTTGAATGTGTGGCCTTCTACCAAGAACCCGATGCGAAACGTCAGGAACGACTGGCAGCTGTTTCGGAAGCCAACGAGGAGGCCCGTTTACTGAGGTTCTATTGTCATCTTGACTTTCATGAATTGTTCAGCCCGAGGTGCAAGAGCTGCAAGACCCCTATTGAAGGAGAAGTGGTTGTAGCATGTGGTGCTGAATGGCATGTCGGCCACTTCTTTTGTGCCGAATGTGGTGATGTACGACCAACCTGAGAGCTTGAAGTCTGAGTGATAATATGCTAACTATATTTTCCCACAGCCTTTCGACCATGAAACCCCGTTTGTAGAAAAGGATGGCTTTGCATGGTGTCTTCAATGCCATTCCCGGCGCACTGCTCCTCGATGCTCAGGGTGCAAAAAACCAGTACTTGATGATGTTGTCATCACAGCTGTCGGAGGTCAGTGGCATGATGAGTGCTTTGTCTGTCACGAATGCAGTGCCGGGTTTGGGCCGGACGGCCGATATTTTGTCCGAGAAGGCGAGCCCAAAAGAACAGCAAAAGGCCGCATCATCGGAGGCCCAGTCCAGTTACCTGTATGCGAAAGATGCGAGGGCATACGACTTAAGGCGTCGCCTCGGATTCGATGATGACTGCACGAGAAATGCTGAGAAGACACGGCTTTTATCATTTAGACCAAGTTTTGTTGACTTACGCACAGTGCTTGTCACTGCGCAGCATCTTGGGTGTTGGAGTAGAGTCTTGTCTTTTTCTTGTTCTTTCTTTCTTTGGGGTATATTATGCACATTATAACCTATGTCAACTACCGCATATGCATCAAGGGAGTGAATTATTAGTGTATGTCAAATACTAGTAGCGTCTGCCAGCTTGCCGTACTTGCTGGGGTTGGGCAGTCTTGGGCGCCATTGAGCTATGGACAGGGTCACGAAACTGGTTTCTAGCTAGGTCTTTTTTCGGGTTAATAGGCTTTTGTAACTGAAACTACTATATACATACATCAGGGGTTCCAGTATTGGCTTCCAACCGCATAGAATTGCTGGTATAAAACACCATAGCCAGAAGCAGCAATGGAGATAAGTGGGAGATATCAAGCAGGCCATTCAGGGTCGGCCTTGCGACGGAAAACAGCCACATACTTGTTTCCCTTGTTCCTAGTGACCTTCTTGCCTTCCTCTGTAGACTCCCTCATGACCTCCACACAGGGATCATTTGCTAATTCCTCCTCAGACACCCGCTCAAAGAGATCTTTCACTCCACCTTCACTCGCCTGCTGTTCACCTTCCTCTCGGAAATGCCTCAGAACCCAATGATGATACTCCTCTACATCAGTGATCGTATACAGAAGGCCCCCCGGCTTCAGCGCGTAGGCATATTCAGCATTCAGGTTCTCAGAAATGATTCTAGCCTTGTGCTTCCTAGCCTTAAAATGAGGATCTGGGAAGCAAATAAAGATCTTAGATAATTGGTGTCTGCGGAAGAAGTTCGGGAAGAACTTCATAGTATTGCTGCGGAGGGCGCTGATGTTCTGGTACCCGCCCGGCACAAGGCTATTGGATGTTTCGGGGGTGGCGGCTGAATCTGGCGAGGCCCCATCGGTGGCCAGCTCGGCAGGAGTTGACGGTGCTGGGGAATCGGTGGTGGTTGTAGAGGGGTTCTTGAGTTTGTTCTGCTGGGCTCGGAGTGCTTGGATGCGGTTTTCTACGTATTCGATAACTTGGGTGCGGATTTCCATACCTAGTTAATTATTAGTTCAAATTCCTTTATAGCAGAAACCGAAAAGGGCTGCAGGGTAGGATCAATAGATTGACAGGACCATGGGCATACCAAGTATCAACGTTTCAGGTAATAACGGCGCAAGGCCAAGAAGCAATCCACCGAACCCGCATCCAATATCCACAACCTCGACATCACTCAGAAGTTTCCTCGCATCTGCTAGATTCGTTTGTTCGGGATCAGGGTTGACGAATGCCGGATAATGCGACGACCAGTCCATATGCGCTGGGCTGAGCGGACTAGAGTGTTCAGTTAGCACCCACAAAACCCACGCACGCACGCAATTAATATATTAACATACTAATCCAATCGATGATCTGAGAAAGGGTTGGCGTGCGCACGCTGCCGATAGAACTTCTTCTGGGGCAGTTTAACCTTGGCCGTGTCTTTGTTGGCTGCGGCCGCCGCTTTTTGACGGTATTGATCGCGCTTTTGGCGCTTGAACGGCTGGGCAGACATTGTGGTTGAAGTCGATTATGTTGCTATGGCCGAAATTGATTCGCGAAGTGGGCTGTAAAGAGACGATTGATGTATGTTGTGGAGGGGGTGGGGTGCATTCAACTGTGAATGCGATCGGATGAAGTGCGGAAATTTATTTCGAGATGGAGTTAAGGTTATGGGGGGGCCGGAGATAAAGCCCACATGCTTGTCAGTGACTTAGATTCAACTTCACCAGTCTCCCACCATTTGATTCTCGTTCAACGACTTTCGCTTTGGACTTGTGTTTTGCGCTTATTTACTGTATAGCTACCTGGGTATTTGCGGTCCCCACCATCGTTGATCAGCTTATTAACCGTCTCATCACTGATCAAAGCGGCATCACTCCAACTCCCCACCTATCTATCAGCCGTTATCAACCCCTCCGCACGTCAGTATCTCCAAACATACTCCGTACACTCTCTATAAACATACACCAGGCTCATTTTGTCAAACCACGGGCTCAACGCATCTAGGCGAAGCTAGAGACGAGAAGGAGATGTCTAATCCAGCCCCCTTTCAATTCCCGCCGACCTATTCTTTCCCCCCATTCTTCACGCCCCAACCGAACAGCACAACACGACTCTCACAGCTTCAAAAATGGTCGCTACTAATCCAATCCTGGTGTCGTCACCACCGAACATACCGTCTCTCCTTAATAGAAGCTATCGAGTCACCGCTATTCCATAATTCCACGCTGCGGAAACGAATTACACTGTCTGAGGCGCGGAATATCCTGGACTGGATGGTAGAGAGCGAAGAGAAGGGCGGAGGAGGTAGGAGAGCAGAGTGGATTGATGGTGCGAATAAGACGATTGCTTGGGTTTGGTGGAGGAGACCGGAGGAGTGGGCGGGACTTCTGGCAGATTGGGTATGTTATCTTCCTGGGTGTGCGAACGATCGGATGCTGATGCTTGGTGCCGGGAGTAGATTGAGAATACCGGGCAAAAGAATGTGGTTTTGACGGTTTACGAGTTGGTTGAAGGGGAGGCAACTATGTCACAAGGTAGGTAATGTGTGGATGTTGTGGGTTTTTGCGCGAGGTCTACTGACGCTCGATAGAATGGCATGGCATGGATGTAGATGTTATGATGAAGTCGCTCAATGTCCTTGTGAAACGGGGCAAGGCTCAAATTTTTGGCAATGAGGGCCAGGAAGGTGTTAAGTTTTTTTGATGAAAGCATTTATCTAGCACAGGCGTTGAAATCATGCACTGTCATCATGGCTGTTCATTAAATCGCTCGGATACGACAGGTAACTTCTACATGATAATTCCAGAATATACACACAAGAATCACTCCGCAGGTCAAGAACCCCGAGAGGCCCAGGAAATGCTTGGACAAGCAAAAACAAAACCATTTTGCAGGAACACTCTAACTTCCGTCAAGACATGGGCTTACTCCTCCATCTTGTCAGCCATGTCTTCACTCAGCTCATACTCATCTCCTGCGCGCAATTCTTGCGACATCACAACGTCAAGAAGCCAATCCACGCGCACAATACGTGGCGTTTTGCCAATACCCTGAACCATCTGGCGGAACCGTGGCCATAGTCTTTGATGCTCGGGTGCCACACTGCTGAGTAGGTACACTTCTTTCCGCCCCCAGTTATCGTCACTGGAGCAGTCATCGTCGCTCTCTTCTCGTTGTGGTTGGTACGAGACGCGTCCGCGGAAGAGCGAAAAATTTCCGCCATTGGTGTCAACAATGGATTTGAAGGCTTCAAAACCTCCTCGAATGATTTCAACACAATAGATCTGATATCCCTGCAAAAGCTTGTTCTTGTTTTTCTTAGCGTTGCTTGTGGCTACCTCTAGAGAGAAACCGAATCGCTTTTCTGCAGCCTTGTCCTCCAAGAGGAAGCCGACAGGGTCTAAAAGTTCGTTCTTTTTAAGGCAAGCTGTGATGAAATCGGTGCTAATAATCATTGGGCTATAAGCAAGTGCGTTGACGAACTTAGGAGTTCGAAGTATAGATGGGGCAGCAAGGTGAGAACATTTCCGTGCATCTTGGACGACCTGGATACCAAGTTCCCGAAGTTGTCGCTATAGGTCATTAGTTTCTGTCCCGCGGCGAACAAAGACGTAATAACTTGATAAGAGTTCTACGAACCTTGTCTGCATCTTCTTTCTTCATGTTTCCTACCCACTTTTGATACCCCGTAATTAATAGATGCATTGTCACGGGAGGCTTTGATTTCTTCTGCCTCTTTGCCTCTGTTGCTTCGTCTTCATCGCTCTTGGCCTCAGGCTCGAGTGATCTTCGCTTCTTAGCATTAAGTGTAACGCGGTCCTCATCCGTCTTTTTGCGACCTCCATAGATCACACCACCAACACGCTTCTTTTCCTTTTCGTACAAAGCAATATCCGGAGCAATATCATGCAGACGGGCAGCCGCGGCTTCCTTGGACTTCCGACTACTTGTGGAGGATGGAGTATCGTTCTCCTTGCCTTCCGAAGTAAGTCGGGTGCGCGCAGGCGTCTGTAGCTTCCTGCTATCTGAAAGTTTCCGCGACTTGCCGGCTGGTGTTGCATTACCTACATCCGAGAAGCCTCCGTCATCTTCCGGCTCTTTCGCTTGTGGCGGCTGCATGGAAACTGTCGCCTTTCCGGTTGTAGCATTCTGATCCTTGTTCTGCATGACTCGCCGCGGGCTTGTGGCAGCTTCGGGTTTGGGTTCTGAAGGGAAAAAGAGGCTTTCGAGAACACCCCTGTCCAGCCGTGTCTGACCGACCACCTCGCCTAGGTTGGTACGTCGAGGAAAGTGCGTATAACGGGGATCTGAAACCGGTTGCAGCTTCCACTTTGCATAACTCTCTTCGAGCCACAAGTGATTGACCACATGTAATCCCCATTCTTTTGCTGCAGAGCACTTTTCACTGTTTCCATGGGCAGTCACCAAATGTGTGTTGTCTTGCTTTAAGGTCTTGGTACATTCTGCACCTGAGGCGGCGACTAGATTTTCTAAATAGGCTCTAGCCTCGCCAACGTAATTAGACAAACTGATCTTGAATCCTTCAAAACCCGGGATCGCAGTGCGCGGCACAGGGTAGTGCAGCAATCGTCGCAGGGGCGAGGTCCAGGTGTTGTATGTTATCAAATGGTAAAGCCAAGATAAGTTTCCAACCTCTTTATTCAGCCTCGACGCCACGCGATACGCGAAGCCTTCTCTGTAGCGACATATCAAGACCTCTGCCTTGGAAACATCGGACGTGACCGTACCTCCGCCTTCCTCGATAATCTCTGTAATCGAATCTAATAAGTGCGAACCAATCCCAAGGTCGGTAGAAAGCATGACGTGCTTCCCTTCGAATACATCGAGCTTTGGTCGAGGCGTGGGCAGAGTAGTTGGTTCGGCTGTGGAAGCTCCAACAATATCTCGATTCTCTGTAGAGCGGATCGGCGCATCGGGGCCTGCACGGAGGATTTCTGGGTTTGGCAGAGTATATGGGCGCTCGTCGATTCGTCGGCCGAGTTTTAGGCAGTCGTCAAACCTGGCAAATATTAGGTTAATGAGATCGTCCAATATTCCGCCACTGTAAACCAAGGACTCTTACCAGTGCGGAAGCACTATCTTGACATTCAACTTCTTGCCAAGTGCCACTCGAGCCTTGTCTGAATCCGTTGTCAGATCGACCAAGTGAGTGACCATCTGTGTTATCCTGGGGCTGTAGAGCCCGCCTTTTGCCAGCACACCGCCGATAATCGCATCCTTATCACCCTCTGGGATATCACCGCATGTAACCACAACGTCGTTCAAGAATAGTCGGGGGTCGGGACTGTACTGTCGCGGGTTTGCCAATTTTCTCTTGTTAAGACATGCGTGCAGCCATTGCGGTTTGACAACAGGTATCAAAGCATCGTTAGCAGCGTCAAACGACGGGAAATCGATGGTGGTAGATACGAGATGGGTAAATTCATGTAACGGTGGGAAGGCGGCTGGCGGCTCATAGATGACGGATTCACCACCCTGCTCCTCGAGGGTTGTCGCAAGCTAGTAGGTATGCATGTAAGAGTCTAATGTGCCCAAGGATAGATCAGTCGATGCATACCTGTTGCGCCGTATCGAGGCTGAGGTCTTTCGAGCATATTATACAGATCTTGCACTGGTCGAACAGCTGAAGCTCCTCCTCGCGGCCCACCATGGCGGGAATTTAGTGTCTTTACAGTTTTATTTTCTTGTTGTATATAAGGTTCTGTCACTGTCACACAAGGAAGCGTTAAATCTTGCTGGTTGACTGGCAACTGAGATCGTGGCGGCGTTTTACTACAATTATGCGATGCGACGCGCCAACGCGCCGGCACGACACCTGATCACGTGCGCGTACCATTTACCATGTTTGGTGCGAGTGTAATCAACGCATTCGCAGTCTACTACTATCCCTCTCTCCTGAAACATAGCCAGTCTGTAGGTAGCGATGCTGTGTGACTGAGTCTACCACCTTGAGAAAGCCTAATGGCGATGGTAGCGACACCGTTCCGGTACACGATACTTATCCCATGATGCAGGATGCTACAGGAGTTGGCCGAGTACCTGTTCAAGAAGTGGGAAAGTTAAACCGGGTTCAGCGGTGGATGATCCAGATTGTTCATGTCTGCACCCAGATAATGCCCAGAAGACAGCAAGGTTTTTAGTGCATAATGCAAGATAATAATGCAAAATGCTCGGCACTGCTTCTCGGGCCATTCAGAGTGAATTACGGGAATGCACCTCGCTCAACGATCCAGTTCACGGCAAAGTGACTTGGGCCTACCTCCGTTACCCCATATCATAAACTGGGGATCCCTCCGCCTTTAAAAAGCCCCAGGCGGGCCCATAATAAACCGAAACTTTCCCAAATAGAAGAGATACCTATGCGATGTCTTCCCCTACAAGTTCCGGGCCTTTTCGCATTGTCGACCATGTGGTCGAATGCCAGCATATTCGGGAATATCCCGCGGCTACGGCTAACGAACAGGAAGATGAGTTACATTTAGCCGTCAAGCAGTATATCCCCCTAGATAACCCTAATCCCCAGCCAGGTGATGTCACTATTCTGGCGACCCATGCGAATGGTTTTCCTAAGGTACATCGTCCAGGATTTAGTTACGTCCTCGAATGTGGCTTGCTTTTCAACGGAAACATAAGGCTAATACTGTTTACCAGGAACTCTATGAACCACTCTGGGAAGAACTACATGCTCGGTCCAAAGCCAATGGCTTCCGCATCCGAAATATTTGGATAGCCGACGTTGCGCATCAAGGGCAAAGCTATGTAACCAACGAGGATCTTTTGGGCAACGACCGTACGTAACAATGTCTCCGTTGGGTGTGCTACCAACAAATCAGACGGCGAATGGTCTAAAACTCACACCGTGCGCAAACAGCTAGTTGGTTTGATCATCCCAGAGACCTCCTGCACCTCGTCAACGTGAAGCGCAAGGAGATGCCTCGTCCCATCATTGGGATCGGTCATAGCTTTGGCGGTGCACACCTGTGAGTCTTCTGCAAAATGGAGCCGCGCAACTCTTTTTGACGCCCTTCAACCATCACAGTGCGAAATTATGCCTGATGCATCCTCGACTCATCCATACACTTGTCCTGCTAGACCCTGTTATCCAGCGACAAACAACGCAGTTAGATCCCCTATCAGCCGACAAGCGAAAACTGGCCATGACCAAAACTACCCAACTATCAACCTATCGACGAGATATCTGGCCTTCGCGCCAGGCCGCTGCGGAGGGTTTCAATCGAAGTCCGTTCTACCAAGCCTGGGACTCCCGTGTCCTTGACCGCTGGATTAAACACGGCCTGCGGGAACTTCCCACGGCTATTCATCAACTTCCCAACGAAGCATCTAAGGACGGTGAACGACCCGTCACCCTAACGACACCTCTTCACCAAGAAGTATTTACCTTCTCACGCCCCAACTACGATGGACCTCCGGGCAAAGATGTACCGGTGAATCGGGTAACACATCCTGATCTCGACCCCAATCATCTGGGATCTTTCCCCTTCTACCGCCCTGAGCCGTCGCGTATATTCGCAGAGATCCCGCACCTTCGACCTAGTGTGATGTACATATTTGGCGGCAAATCGGATATGTGTCTTCCCGAGATGATGGCCGACAAGATGGCCAACACTGGCGTAGGTTTAGGTGGCAGTGGAGGGGCAGCGGCGGGTCGAGTTCGTGACGTCTACCTCAAAGAGTTCGGACATCTCCTTGCCCAGGAAGCACCGACTGAATGCGCCGAAGCAGCCAGTAAGTGGTTGGGCCAGGAACTGCAGCGTTGGCGAGAGGAAGACCAGAATTTCCGAGACCAGTGGAGTCGCAAGTCGAAAGTTGAGAAAATCACGATTGATCCGCGCTGGAAGGAGCACGTCCCCGCCCCCGTGAGGGGTAAGAAGGGCCCTCCCAAGCCGAAACTGTGAAGACCAGTAGACGACCCGCAGCTACACAGGAGTTATGCTGTCCTCAACAAATATAGCGTACGTCGATGAGGTTCATGTGGATTATCGGATAAGCAACATAATCTTGAAGACCCTAAATCACGCTGTGAGCTGTAATACCATCTTTATTCTTCTCATCCTGTTCTCTATAATAATACGGTCCTGGCCAGGCCAAAACCGATGTCTATAATGAATAAGCAAAACATAGATGCCAGGGTCATAGCCAAGCCACCGTAGCTCCTGGCCACAATGCTCGCTCAAAACGGAGTAAGGATATAGTATCAGTAAGAACACTCGCACTAGCCTAGTTTGATTTCTTGGCCACGCCATTTTCGCCCTTGTCTTTGGAGCTAATACGGATGATCTCGGGGAAGTTCCAGAAATGCGGCCACCACAGATAATATTCCTCTTGACGGTTGTTCAAGCAGTGGCGCAGCCAAATGCCCCAAATTATATAGAGGTACGCACCAATACCGGTCATGAGATGCCTTGACAACAGAACAATGTTAGCAAGTACGGTACGAGCGAAGACCTGCGGCGGCGCAGAAAAGAGAAAGAACCAGAGATAGGAGACATACCACCAGCCATGACCTTCAAGGAGCATACCCCACGGAAGCCCCACTACCCGGCGCCATCCGCGGATCTTAGTGCAAAAGTGGTTATCCAAGTTCCAGATAAAGAAGCCACCGAGGAACATGCTTAGTCCATAAATAACCATGAACCACATGGTCTTCAGAATCTTGACATCTCGCATATTCTCGTAATGTTGATGTTCCTTTGAAGGAACAGGTAGACCCTGTTTCTCGCGCGCTATCCGATCCTGCTCGGTGGTGTGTCGCCATTTAGGGCGAAGGGTTACCTCCATGGTGTACATACTCCGCAGGACGACGACAATGGTCAGGATAGCGTATGCATTCTGGTGGAAGACAGGGTCTTGAAGGTAGTGGTAATAGAGGGTAATGAAGACGGCTAACCCGGTCAGCGCAATAGCTAGGAGTACACGGACGGTTGTTGGTCTCGAGTAAGAGAAGGACGCATAGCACATCAAACATGTGGTGTAAATCATGGAAAGTTCGTCGACGAGTTGCATGGGATCTGTCGGAGAATATCAGGTTAGTAAGCCCGAGTTACCCAACCCCTCCTCGTAGAATGAATATAGAAATCTAGCACTCACATTTCAGGGTCGAATGGAACAGGAAACTCCCCGTTCCAACAAGGAGATAACCATAGTATGCCACGTCAAAGATTGAATCATGTCCATTGCGCCTACAGCTGCGTAGCCCTTTGATTCCGAGCCACATAAACAGAAGGTTTGTCAGGGCGTTGACAATCTCGGCGGAATAGATGGTCACATAATAATCCTAGTTTTATGAAGCCATTAGGAGTGAGTTAAACAGAAAGAAAGACAAAAA